TCCCTCAGGTCTCCCTCAGTCTCCCTCAGTCTCCCTCAGTCTCCCTCAGTCTCCCTCAGTCTCCCTCAGTCTCCCTCAGTCTCCCTCAGTCTCCCTCAGTCTCCCTCAGTCTCCCTCAGTCTCCCTCAGTCCCCCTCAGTCTCCCTCAGTCTCCCTCAGTCCCCTCTCTGCTCCACCATCAGCACCTGTCGCTGCACTAATTATTCAATTATCACACTCCGATCTACCTCGGTCCACACTCGGCACAGAATCAGGAGGTTCGAAAACCGAGAGAAAACACCACTGTAGACCGCAAGGACAGCACTTCTAAACAACAGAATAAAACGAGTGTTGTTGTCGAATAGTTCACGGTGTTTTGTGTACCCCACGTGGGGTCATTTTGCTGCAGGAACAGACGACAACGTTCCGGAGATTTATTTGAAAATATCCTAAAAAATTGTACACGTCTTCTTTTGTTTCCGTAGCAGAAACTACACACGTGGTAATTTTCTTTCTTTTTTCTGCGTTTTCTATGTCTATGTATTATGGATAACACTATGGATAATGTTGTGAATAATGGCCAAAACAGAAGCGAGATATCACTAAATGCATAAAATTTGGTCAAAAGTTTTGTTTAAAAAAAAACAAGATATCTAAGATTACTTAAACAAAACATTTAATGAAATTAGCAAACAATGTTGCAAAAAAACTAAAAGAGACGACAAAACAGAAACGATAATTCAAATAATGCTTAACGTTATCCGTGGTTCGAAATTTAATCAAAATAGCCAAACGTTAATTTCTACATGCGTGTTAATTATATTTAATTGTAATATTAAAATTCAATTATTATTATTATTATTATTATTATTACACAACTAAGTGTTAGCCTGGTGGATGGTTCACCTTAGCCACACAGTCATACTTACCTAAAGACCAACCCTTAAATTTACTAAAATTCTAATTCTGAAATGTAAGGGGAGAAAATGTTGGAATCGAGTTGGGATTAACTAGGAGGACTAGTTAACTATACATAACCCCCCCCACACACACACACACACACAAACACACACACAAGCTACATTTTTGCAACCTTTCCAGTAACATCAACAAAGACGACACGTTTTAGGTTGTTCAGAAAACAACAAATATAAGTTAAAGCAAATTAAGAATGTAAACAATTGCTGACCAGAAATAATAGCAATTTCAGCTAAAATGCTAGCCAGGGTTATGCTAACTGACAATCAAAAGTATGGCCATGTGAGCTAAGAAAACTGTAACGTTGCCTAAAACAGGTCAAGAGATNTAAAGGTTTTTAACGAAATTGCAAATTATTAACCATTCGAAAAAGCTCAAAAGTAGCCAGGATTTAGCAGAAGGTTAAACTCCACTTGAAACCATGAACCAATGAATATCCCTTAACACTTGTATAGAGGGAAATACTGCTGGAGTGAAGGTGAAGTTGTTAACCTCGTGCAGATGTTTTGGAGCAAATTTGAAAATGCAATATTAGGTTTTGATAATTGTTATAAGTCATTACAGAGGGTTGACAACATCTGCAACTAGTCAATCAGTCAGTCAGTCAGTCAGTCAGTCAGCAGCAGCAGCAGCAGCAGCAGCACGAAGCCATGTGGGACTCGTGCTACACACAGTACAACCAACATAGTACTGTCTGTCGTGTGTGTGTGTTTGTGTGCGTGTGTGTTCAAACAGACACCTTTTTTGCCATAATTTAAATCTTCATCATCATTTTTTACTGTTTTTGCACATTATTTACATAAACCTCAGAAACAGATCAATAAATTAATTAATCAATACAAAACTAAATATCCTCTATTTTTTGGACTAAACACATCTGGACAAATACAGAAAAAGGACTAAAACAAACCCTGTTTCACAGCGCATCCAGTACAGCACGAAACAAAAAGTGATGATAAAAACATATGTACAGATTACAGTGACGTATGAGCTGCTCCTCCACGTGATAATGACTGGTTTTGTTTTTGTTTTTTTCATTAAAGCAGCTAATAGTCAGACCGTTTAACATGGTTCACATAACATTGAGGGGCCGGCATAGAAAAGCTTTGCTTGCATTAGTGCAGCATTAACAACACAGTGTTGTTACTTACAGAAATGACCACACGGACAAATGAAAGAAAGGTTTAAGCGAGTAATAATTTAAACTTAAATAACGAACACGTAAAAACAACATAGTAACAGTTTGAGGCTGCAGACAGTAAATCCTCTGCCCTGTGGCCAATTTCTATCCTTTGGTGGGTGCAGGTTGAGTTTTACGTCTTTTTAGGACTCGTTTTGGGACATGTGGCGTAAACAAGCACGTTTTCTAATAAACATGTATCTCAACAACAGGATAAGTCACACAGATATGTTTTCAAAGAACACAAAGATGATTAACAGCAGCCAAAAATGGATCCATCTGTCTGCGATTTCCGCTGGCTCTGACAGGCCTGGTGGCCTCGGGCGCACCGCGCTGTGGTGCGCCTTTTTCAGTCTCTATGCTCCTTCTTTCGCTACTCTCTCCTCTCTCCGTGCCTCTGCTCCTTCCCATCACCCGGTTTCTCAGGAGGCCACGGTGTGAGCTGGCGCCGTGCGGCAGCAAACTCCGGCCTGGTTTGGTGTTGTGCGTAAAAATCAGTGCTGTGTACCGCGCCAAAAGCGGCTGCATGTGAGCCTGCTCAGAAGTCCTGGAGCTGAGGCTCCGTGTTCTCACATGAGCTGTGACTGTTGCATAGACTCCGGGTGTGTGGTGGGATACCACGAGGTGTAGCTGGGGATGTAGGACCCGGTCGTGGCCCCCGCTGGAGTCTTCACAGTGGTCGGCGAGCTCCAGACAGGTGCCACCGAGGGGGAGCCGCTAGACAGTCCGCGGCCTGTGGCCAAAGCGTTGGCGTCGATGGCGCCACCGCCTTGTTTCATGAGCTTCTTGAATTTGGATCGTTTGTTTTGGAACCAGATCTTTACCTGGACAGAGCAAATATTTAGAACATTTAAATATATTTTTTAACGAATTAACAAACGGAAGTGGAAGAGCAGGACGTGACAAACAAATGACGTACGTTTTACGCATCTTTTTAAAAATATATATTTGTTTGTTGTGGACTAACCCAGGTGATTTTATTGATAGAATTGTTAGTGAAAGAAACAGTGTTGGAATTTCTTTCATTTTCTTCCTCCGTGTCTCCTCAGTCACTGACACTGACTAATCTCGGATTATTTCCTTTTTTAAACAAATGAAAAAAGATTCTACATCTTAAATTTGAGCAACTCGGATTATGTCAAAGCAAAACAACATTTTCTTTGTGTGTGTCAGATTTAATCCAACGTCCTCGTATGATAAAGCGCTACAGCCTAATTTTTTCCCTGAGTTTGGGACAGAGAAACCAAAAGTGCTTAACAAATTATGGAAATTAAACCCATTAGGTGAGTGTGTAGATTCGCCTGGGAGGCTGTAAAGAGTTTAGGCTGCTCTACGTTTCATCCGAGCTTGTAAACATTAAAGCCTTCGTCAGTTACAGCCTCAGACACGTCCATTAATCAAATGTGTCTGGCTGTTCCCTCAGACTGAAACACAGAGGCAACACAGCCTTTACACAAACTACTACCTCAAAGTCTGCCTTCTACTTTCACATCTATTTTCAGCACCATGCATTCATTATTTATCGAAATATTTACTTATACATGATTTGTTATTTATTTATTTGTCTATGGTTGCAAAATTTTGAGAGACAACCTTTAAATTATATAGAACATTTAAATAATTGAAGGTGGGCATTTATTTATTTTTTTAACTGTAGGGCTATAACCCAACCTGCTGTACTCATTTGGAGATAAATACTGCACCACAAAATTTAAACAT